GATTTGAAATATTTGCTCAGGAAAGGCATAGTTACTGAGTATGGAATTTGGCAAATGTAATTTTGTGGAACTTGTAGAACTTTGGAGATTTGCAAATTAATCCTCATTCAGCTGCCTCTCTTTCTGACCTCTGGTTCCCATATTGCAATAGAGATCTTTTCTTTTCTAGACATGGATGATTGTTCCAAATGTCCAGAAGATCAATATCCAAACAAGGAAAAAGACAAGTGCATTCTGCTCACTGTCTCCAACTGTCAGTGCAGCACATTAGCATTGAAAGCCGCTTTTGCTACCCTGCTCCTCCAAAAAGCCACAGAGGTTTGTGCGTACGAGACAATTCCTGGCTAGGAGAAGGGGAGCTGCTAACCATCACTTGGGAAATCACACCCTCAGATACTTCAATTCTTTCTGCCCCAGCAATATCCTTTTAGATTCTGAACACTGTGCAGCTGTGAGGAGCAGGAGGGGGAAAGGTCTCACCTATGGCCACTTGTAGGAAGAGCAGCTTCCACTGTCCTGTGGGACCGGCAAGAACTGGAGATGCACAAGGAATCAACGGATGTCAGGTCTGGGTGTTGCGAACATCCTTCGAATCAGGAGCAGGCTGAGCCTCTGAACAGGTTTTCCTTCAGAGAAAAGGACCACATGGTTAGAAGGCAACCAGAAAAATGCCACTGCAAAGGGGAATGTCACCTTTATCCCTTGCTGCAGGCTTGACCATGATGGGGCTGTGAACAAAACGGGAAGCCCAGCTCCATGGCCTCTGGCCTGAGAGAGCAGGACCCTCGTGTTCTTCTTGGGGGCCCTCAATTAATTGTGTGATTCAATTGGCTTCAGCTGCATTTCCCAAAAGAGCTGCCAGAATGAGGCAGGGTTTTTGCCTGGCATCAGATCCACTTCCTCCCACTGTGTGTCTTGCGCAGTAATACAGTGCTGTGTCCTCGGCTTTCAGGTTGTTCATTTGCAGATACAGCATGTTGGAGGGGTTGTCTCTGGAGATGGTGAAGCGCCCCTTCACCTTGTCTGCATAGTATTGGGTGCCACCATCATACCTTATGTAAGCAACCCACTCCAGTCCCTTCCCTGGAGCCTGGCGCACCCAGTGCATGCTGTTGCTGCTGAAGGTGAAGCCAGAGCCTCGACAGGTGAGGCGGAGGGACTCCCCTGGCCTTTTCACATCCCCTCCAGACTCCTCCAGTTTGACCTGACTCTGGACACCTGGAAGAGAAAGATTTTGCAATAGGTGTGAGAGATGTTGGAAATCTGGCACACACCACCTCCCTGCAGGGGAAAGGGGAGATTTACCTGCAAGAACTGCAGAAAACAAAGCCAGCTGAATGAATACTGCCATTTCCCCCCTGCAAAGGTTGAGTGAGCAGGGCTCCTGGGTGCATAGGGTGATGTAGCTGGGCATGAAGAGTGTCCCCTGGACTTAAAGAGGAAGTGGTCTCTGAAAATTTGCATATCAATCAGGATAAAAGCATGCACAGAAGCCTTCCAACATCTATTGCTGGAGGAGGGAATAGTCGTCATTGCTAGCATTCACTGCACCTAGTGTGAAGTTGAAACCTGAATAGTTTTAATTCATCTAGTTGGCAATAACTTTTATCGGACCAAAAGCAAATCTTCCCCTGTTGTTCAAAGCAGAACAGAAAATGCAATGAAATACAACATGGAAAGACAGGTATGTGTAAAGACATCGTAAAAATCCAACTGTTGAATAGTGAGGCCAGATTTAAAATCACATCCAATCCACTACTACAGCTAACACAAATTGGAACACAAGATGTGTGAGACAACCGAGGTAAATTCTCCTTAAGTATTTTAAGCTGAAGAAATGTCTGCCTACAGGGCTGTCTAGCCCTGGCACTGGAGGAAAATAGAGTTGGTACTGGACCAGACTTCAAGGCAGAGGTCAAGGGGTGACCACAGAAGGCCCTTCTTCTGGCTGCCTCCAACTCAGCATCCCTTCGGGGTGTGAATCACAGGCAGGCTCCACCTCTGGACCTGTGTGTGCAGGTAGGTTGCAGTGAGGGGGTGGGGGGGGGCTGTTCCTGCAGGTGTCTTGGTCCCAGCGTGTGTGGTGCTTTTCAGGTAGAGGCAGGTGATTGTGTTTGGCTCAAAATGCAGGTGACTCAAGTAGGGAAGTGAGAACATCTGGTCCCTCTTATTATTCCTCCTGTTGCATTTTGTGCAGAGCACAGGTTTAGGCAGATTTCAAGGGCAGCCCCGGTAGAGTGTGTGGTGGAAGTCCAGGACACAGGTTACTGAAGCTGTAGCTGGGCCACCAGGCAAAGCAGGTAGATGGTACTGTCTGCCACTGAAGCCACCTGGGCCTCCGTGGACAGCATGGCTCAAGGAGCGTCCTGTGGTTTTATCCACCTGCCCTTCAGTTGGAGTTGGAGTGACCCTTAGAAGGGCTTGCATTCCCCCATCTGGTCCGAGGATCCCCCCACGGGCAGCATCTCAGGTTTGTCTGGGCTGAGTCTCACTTTGCTGGCCCCCATCCTGTCCATCACCACTGCCAGGCTTCAGTTTAACACACCCACAACCTCTCCGGCTGCAAATGCTAGGACAACTGGACCTCCGTGTTGTCAGTGTGCAGAGGGCAACACACTCCAAAGCTCTGGATGATCCCACTCAGTGATTGCTTTGGGGAATTAAATCACATGCCGGACATGGACTTCCCCAGGGGACCCCGTGCTGGAGAGAGCAATGGGCCGGCCCATATCCCCCAAGCAGCAGCACCTGGACCTGAAGGGGCTTTGCCTGCCTTCAGCCTTGCTTCTGATGCCTGCTTTTCTCACACAGTAACGAAGGCTTTGTTTGCCTCTAAACATTTTTGCTCCCCATTTTTGTTCATCAGCATCTGCCCCTTTATTGAACAATCCATCCCTCTTGAGTCTGTTCCTCACTACCTCTGCAATATCTTTTCTCTCATATTGTGCTGACCTACACTAAGAAATGGAACTAATCCCACCTGAAGTGATATAGGTGGGGAATATTCTTCATAACTTACCTGGTGTCCTAATTGGACTCCCCACCAATAGGGGAACTCAAGGAAAAGGCAGCAGAAAGCACAAAGGCATCTTCACATGAGGGCAGAGAATCCCTCAGTCAGGAAGGCAATTACACATGCACCGTGTTCCTGAGGAGGTTGTGCTCAGTGTAGTTGTCAAGGACAAGTTTCCTTGCCTTTTGGAGAGAATTGTGGGGAAGTCTCTTGTGGGGCCTCAGGGGACCCAGACAGCCTCAAGAAACAACCGTCTCTGAAGGAGACCATTCATGCACTCAGACTCAAGGAGCAACCGTCCTCACATCCAAAACCACAAAGAAGTTCACAGCATGATCAATGAGCCAAAAGAAAGACCAGCAAAGCCCCAGTTCAGCCATATCCTCCTCAGCTATGCTTAGTTTCATGCACAGCTCTCCTATTCCTCCTTTGGGGCAGCTGCAGGAGGGCAGCCCTGAGGTCCCGGCATGAGACGGGATGCTTCAGACATTCTGCAGAGCCCACCAGGTGGCTCACATGTCCAGGCCCTGCTCCCAGGGTGGAGAGGCAATTGCTTGGACATATGTGCTCTTCCAGACTCATCCTGTGTGTCCGCCTGCTCCTCTTTTCTTCTGGCTCAGTAGGAAAGAAGGTCTGTGCTACTTAAGCCCAAACTTGCCCTGGAAGCAGAATGAAAACTCTGAGACTTTCTGTATTCTCTTAACGCTTGACATTGTTTATGGAACAAGTGAATTCATATCTCTCAAAGGCTGTGGGCAATGCGCTGTTGCAGAGACATCTTCCATCCGCCAAACCCAATTCTCCAGAAAAGAAGAGGAAGTGCTGCCCTCAGGGGGAACATGATACCACATCCCCAATGGCCTAATCCTTCAAGCCTCCGGCTCTCTCAGTTGCTCTGGAGGGGAACAACCAGAGCAGCACTGATTGGTCATCCTTCTGTGAAACCAGCATGCTAGCTTCACTCATCAAGGAGGTTGAGCTTTCTGCTACCTCGAATTTCCCACCGGGTCGTGTCCCTATAAAGCACATCCATGTTACATCAACTGTCCCTGCTCACTGTCTCCAACTTTCAGTGCAGCACATTAGCATTGAAAGCTGCATTTGCTACCCTGCTCCTCCAAAAAGCCACAGAGGTTTGTGTGCACAAGTCAATTCCTGGCTAGGAGAAGGGGAGCTGCTAACCGTCACTTGGGAAATCACACCCTCAGGTGCCTTATTTCTTTTTGCCCCAAAGATCCTTTTGGATCTTGGACACTGCTGCTGTGAGGAGCAGAAGGGGGAAAGGTCTGACCTGAGGCCGCTTGTAGGAAGAGCAGCTTCCACTGTCCCGTGGGACCAGCAAGAACTGGAGATGCACAAGGAATCAACAGATATCAGGTCTGGGTGTTGTGAATATCCTTTGAATCAGGAGCAAGCTGAGCCACACGGTTAGAAGGCAACCAGAAAAAGACCACACGGTTAGAAGGCAACCAGAAAAATGCCATTGCAAAGGGGAATGTCACTTTTATCCCTTGCCACAGGCTTGGCCATGACGGGGCTCTGAACAAAACGGGAAGCCCAGCTCCATGGCCTCTGGCCTGAGAAAGTAGGGCTCTCGAGTTCTTCTCAGGGGTCCTCTATTAATTGTGTGATTCAATTGGCTGCAGCTTCTTCTTCCCAGAGAGCTGCGAGAAGGAGGCTGGGTTTTTGCCTGGATTCAGATTCATTTCCTCCCAGTGTGTCTCTTGCACAGTAATACAGGGCCGTGTCCTCGGCTTTCAGGT